ATCACTCGATCAAAGAACATGTTTCTAAAGTTGAGCATTATGATATAGATCCTATTGTGGTTCAGTTTGGGAGAAAACTTGTTTGTAAAACTTAATCACTATGATCAATCTCACAATGCTCAAATAGAATCAACTCAATCAAGATTAAATTGAAAGGATATAAAAGTAAAGAGACAGGATGATTTACCCGAGCTGTACCACAGAATCTACTAGATTTCTTAGGTCATTCCGAGCTTGGTCAAGAAACAATGTCACTCTCTCTCTCTAGATTCAAAAAAGTATATTTTTTCTTTAAAAAAACATTACTCTAGTTTGGTTTACTTTGGTAAGTAAACTGAAGTAAAGTTAGTATATACGAGTATATTCCATAGATATTTCTGAGTTGTTCATAGAGTTTATCGTGTATAGATATTATAAGATCTTATCTGCTAAAGATCATGTATAGATCTTAACTGTATTGTGTATATAAGCTATTGGCATGACATCAATAAGAATCATCATCTCACGATACTTACACGGTATCGTAGCATCTGTGGATCTAAGGAAAATAAAAAATTCTACTTCCATTTTCTTTCTTTGCCATCTCCTGTTCATCAATGGCAACCACTTCCCCTTCTTACTCGATTTATTTGGTTCTATCCACTGAAAACTCAAGTCTCAAGTTGTGCGGATATTTCCTCATATTAAGGCACTTGTGGAATATTGATTCAACACCAAAATCAAGACACTTAACTCTGAAAATGGTGGTTAGTATCTCAAGCTCAGACCCTTCTTCTCGACTCATGGAATCATGCACTACATCACTCCCCCTCATACCCCAAAACACAACGGTACTGCTAGGCGAAGACACATACATATTGTGGAGACTGGAATGGCTCTTCTCACACAAGTGAAGGTTCCTACGACATATTGGACCTTTGCGTTTGCATCAGCAGTCAATTTGATCAACATAATTCCCACTCCCACTCTGGTCAATGCTTCTCCATTTAAGATGTTGTTCAAGGTGGCACCAAATTATTTCAAGCTTCGCACATTCGGCTGCCTACGTTATCGGTGGCCTCGACTCATATGGGCAGAATAAATTCCGTCCAAAATCAACTCCATGCGTCTTTCAGGGTTACTCTCTAACTAAAAGTGTCTTTTTGTCTTGATGTTTCAAAGAATCGTATTTATACTTCCTGTCATGTTTTATTTCATGTGAACCCTCTTCTCAGCCTCCTTCAGCTTCTCCCCTAGCGTCCATTGCTCATATCTATCGTCCGCTACTCATTCATGATACGTCCCAGAGCTCGGATCCTTCACTACCTGAGACTCTAGATCCAGTCGCTGCAACAGAGAATTCTTTGCCTTTACCATCTCACGCCTCACTCCCATCAAACCAGACCAACACTCATCCGATGGTGACTAGAGCAAAGAACCAGATTCAGAAACCAAATCTAAAATATGTTCTGATTACACATGTTGTTAAGATTGAGCGCTCTATAAGACAAAGGATGGCTGAGAGCAATGGGAGTTGAGATGAACTCCCAAATTAAACTTGGCACTTGGGATCTCGTTCTGCTGGATATGGCACGTAATAGTGTTGGTTGCAAATGAGTTTTCACTATTAAACTTTTACCTGATTGTCCAATTGACAGGTTTGAAGCGCGTTTGGTGGCCAAAGAATTTCATCAACAACCTGATGTTGACTTTCAAGAAACCTTCAGCCAAGTGATAAAAAATGCGATGGTCCGACTGGTGCTTGGAGTAGTGTTGGCTTAAGACTGGCCATTATGGCAATTGGATGTCAATACAGTCTTTCACTAGAAAATATCACAAAGTAAGTGTATATGGTCCAACCTCCAGGCTTTGTAGATTAAGACAAACCCAACCATGTCTGTCGTTTCAAGGAAGCTAGCACCCCGAGCATGTTCGAGATGGACAACTTTGTGTCACTCATGTAAGCTCAGCGGACCAACTAGTTGATACGTTAACAAAGCCTCTACCACATACAAGGTTTCAGAACTAAGCAGTCAAGATTGGACTTACTTCAAGGCCTCCATCTTGAGGGGGATGTTAGTATATACAAGTATATTTCATCGATATTTTTGGGTTGTTTATAGAGCTTATCGTGTATATATTATATGATCTTATTTGCTAAAGATCTTGTATAGATCTTAACTATATTGTGTATATAAGCCATTGGCATGACATCAATAAGAATCATCAGCTCACAGTACTACAAATAACACCAAATTTAATATCATTTATGTTTTAAATGCATAGGAAAAGAAAACATGCATAAATACAAATTTGATAGTGTTTTCCTCTTTTAACCAAATAAAAAATAAACAGTATATAGTTCCATTTGACAGCATATATAACAATGTATTTTTCCTTATATATTATATAAGTGCAGATCCACCCAAAATTTTCAGCCTCTGCGTAACTATCTCATTAGAAAGTTAAAAACATATTTCCCCCTAATTACGAAACATATTACACATATATGTTACTTTTTCGATTTATAACCTAAACTTGATATGATCGTGACCAGCTCAGAGGAGGAGGAACCAGAGGTAGCTGGTAGGATTACTCGTTCCAGAGCTAGAGAGATGACTAAGGAGGCTCACGCACTCATGGCCGCAGAGGACATCGATCAACTAGAGGCTGGAGCTCACATCTTCAACATCTCTATCTTGAAGAATGAAGAACCCAGTAACAATGACTAGGTAACTTAGGTGATGATTCTGTACTCTTTTCCTTGGTGAGGATTTTGGAAGGCAAGGAGGTTCTTCTCCAAGGTTTTTAACGAGGCAGAAATCATTGCTACGTCGAGTTACTTAGAAGTTGTTACTAATGGGTAATAATGTGCAAAGTCACAATGACTTGTGCACTAGTATTTTGGCGCACCACTTAGGAATTTTAGGGACGCCTTGCTGTTTTATTTTTAAACCAAACTTCTTGTTGTTTTATTTCAAACTTCATGTAGTTTTGTTATTAGGGCTGCGATTTTCTCTCATAGTCTATAAAACAGAGAAAATCGCCTAAGTGTTATTCAGTGAAGAATTTTTATCAAACTTTTAACGTGTTCTTCTGTCTTTGATTTCTGAGAACAAAAAAACTCTGAAATTCGAATCTCTTAAAAACTAATCTGTTTACAAGAGATTCTTCTATCTCTCCATTCCATTGATTCAACCATCATACTACCATCACCATTCCATCGGTTCTATCTCTTCCACCATACCATCGATTCGAGCAACCAGACCATCATCATCATCCACTCGATCCGTTCTCCACCATCGTCACTCATCGTCGCGTTCATCACACCACCATCCTAAGTCCATCGAATCCTCTCTAGCCTTTATTCTTCAGAGTAGATCACCTTGGATCATATCATGTGGTATCAGAGCCAACTCTGAACCAAAGGCTGAGAAATCTCTAACCCTAATCGCAATTTTTGATCTGAATTCGTGTTTCGATTGTTAGGGCTTAGCGAGTTTGGTTTGTGTGTATCGATCTGTTTCCTTTTGAATATTGTATCGTTATTGCTTCGTATCGTTAGCGAGTTCGTTTGCTATTGTTAGGGTTAGTCAAGTTTCGCATCGTTCGTTGTTATTCCTGCTGTTAGATCGTTCGTTGTTATTCCTGCTAGTCATCGATCGTTTGCTATTGTTAGTAAAACCAAAACCAGACCAACTAAGGCTCTGATTGGGGTGTAGGTAGTGAAGATTTTTATGAGTTTAACAGTTCTTACAGCAATTTTCTTCCCAATCAGACTTTTTAGACTTTAAAATATTTAATATTTTACAGTCTTTACAGCACTTTTTAAATTTTTCTTTATTATTTCTAACAGCCTTTTTTGTGGTTTTTAAAGTTTCTCTCTCCTATTCCTTAGTAGGATTTTCTTTTTACATTTCTTTTGTTTTATTTAGTAAACTGTTGTATTGCTGAAATTTTGATAACTAATAAAAGTTGACTACTATTTTGATGCACTTCCTCGTGTAAAGGAGTAGTAACCAAATGAAAATTTCAACACAAAAATATAGCAAAATGTCCAACAAAATCTTTAAAACAATCAAACACTAATTAGAGGATCACTATAAATACTACAATAATCTATATTAGTATTTGCGAAGTGAATTCGTCTGTGCTTTAACGCATAATTTTTTGTGTCGTTTTGATTAATGAAATTCTGATGATTTGATTGGTTGATAATTGTTATAACTTGATTGGTTGAATTAGTTAATTTTAAATCATTAAAATCGATATTAGTTGCTTTAAAAATAGAAAACTTGCACAATTTTTTGTGTCGTTTTGATTAATGAAATTCTGATGATTTGATTGGTTGATAATTATTATAATTTGATTGGTTGGATTAGTTAATTTTAAATCATTAAAATCGACATTAGTTGCTTTAAAAATTGAAAACTTCTTTAATTCATATAAAAAGGGTCTGGGCCATAATCTCTTCTCTCGAATAACTTGGCCCAAATTTCAAACCCAAAAAAATTATACATACCTTCCAATACGTCGTTTGTGTTGAATGAGATGGTAGCTGTGTTGGTTAAGTGCTTTGTCCATTTGTCGAAGGCTCACGGGTTCGAATCCTGTGATTAGTTTTTTTTTGTTTTAATTGTTAGAATTTAGTTATATAATTCGATTTTTGAAAATATTTTGTATTTATTAAATATTTTATAAAAGGGAATATTCCATAATTTCTTTGTTATTATCTAGAATGGAATCTTTACATTTTTATTATAGATAACTACGAAATTCATGGGAAGATAATCGCATATAGATCAATAATTACATTTTAGTAATTTTCACAAGAAAATAAACCCTAGGTTGTTTAGACGTATAAATATGAGCGTTTTCAACCAAAATTCTCATAATTTACGCATTAGTTTTTCTATTAGGGTTCCGTGATTATTTTGCTAGGGTTTTTATAATAGGATTAACTTTTTGGATCTCTTTAGAAAAGATTCAGCATGTTTGTCTATTTGCATGCAAAGCTAACAATGTGTTCGTCTAAGTACAGCTTTGATCATCCATCTAAAGTCATCATCACTTGGGAAGTTCCGTCTACTGATTCTGGTATATATATATAACTATTATCAAATTTAATAATAGTATGTATGCTCTCAACTTTTTTAGATGAATTCTAAAAATTTATACGACTATAGGTTTTGATAACCAGGCTTATGCTCGCGGGTTAAAGTCTGTGTTGAAATCGCATCGTCAGAATATGGATAACAAAGACATGACTGATTATCGTTATGTGACTCCATACGTTTTCGTGGATATCACCAAAAAAAAAGGTTGTTGAACCTCTTTAGGTTATTCATTCAATTTATAATACTTATTAGTAGTTGTTTGTATTTGTAAGTTATCCATGCAAGCTACTTATCGATTCTGCTATCGATGAATGGACCTTGCAGACATATAATCCTGTTATCGAAGGTAGTCCTGTCTATTAATCTTACAGTTTTTACCTTTTGTAATGCTATATCTTAGCCTTTCAGATGCATACCCTTATTATATATTAATCTATGAACGTTTTCAATCTATATGTAGATATTGATTCTTCGTATCATATATCTATTCTTGATCACGAGCTTTTTATCAAAGGAGGTATTTCTGCTCTTAATGTAATATATTTTTGTTAATGATGTATATTAAGTATTTATGTTTGTTCTAATGTTTGTTTTGTGCATTTAGGTTCTGATCGTGTTAATACGAGTGATCATGCTCAGAAGACTTTTCTATGGGATTTTGCGAGGAATGTTTGGGTTATGAATAAAGAATCTAATGGTTTCAATTCTTTGTTTTTTTGTTTTGAACACTGTTTTTTTTTTTAAGAATACTAATTACACCGTTTTTATATATATTTATCTATGCAGAAGATAGTGACTCTGATGATACCGAGGTTTTATCGGGTCGTGGTACTGATGATGATTATGGTTTTGAGGATTATATGGGGTCTGATTCAGAGACGGGTGAAGATACTGATGATATGGACCAAACAGATGAATATGATTCTGAGGATGATTTTATTGACGATGATGAGTCTTGTGAAGAATCTGATGGTTCAAGTGATAACTCAGAAGATGATAGCAGTGATGACGAAGATGAAGATGGTGACGATGCCGATTCAACTGATGATAATGAAAATGATGATGAAGATGTTATGTTGGATGATGAGACTGATATTGACGATGATAGTGAAGATCAGCGAAGCGTCGAACTGAGTGATATACTCATCGAAAAGAATATTAGTATATCTGGACACCAGGATTCGGTATGTACTTATACAGTTTATCTTGGTTCAATGTGTTTTGGTGGGTGTGTTTCACGTTTGAGTCCTTCCAAAGATGGTTGTACTATCTTTGTTAAGGTTTTACAAACCTGGGTGCATATGCTAATTTCGAAACGTTCTTCCATGGAGCTCATATTGTCGGATGAACAGGTATTTATTGTACTATTACACAAAAATATTCTAAATTTTTGTCGGTGTCTAATTGACTGTTTTATTCACAGGGTGTAAAGATTCAGGCCACTGTTAGTGATGGTGAGATCAGTGTTGCATCGTCTCGCATAGATGTTGGTAGTTGGATTATTATCAGTCGTTTTTCTGTTATCGATTATGAGGATAGTTGTAGACCGACTTCTCATAGATACAAAATATTGTTCCTACCATCAACTATCATTGACAAGACTTCACGTAGATTTGAAAATGCCTATTTTGACTTTGTTGATTTTCAAAGGATATTGGATCGTGCCCATGATGATGACTATTTAGTTGGTGTGTTTATTTTCGATTTAGTTATTGAATTTCGTTATTATTATCTTACTGATGTTAACATTGTTTAATTTTTGTTGTTTATGAAGATTTGATAGGTCGTATTTAAATGTAAGTCGATCTGGGACGTCCTGTGGTTTACTGACTGGGGAGCATTCTTTTCCTTCATATGGCAGTCTATGTAATGATATATGTGATTCCGAGATATGGGGTTCATATTCAACCGTCATGTTCTGTCTTAGAGATAAACGGTACTGTCTGCTGAATGTTTTAAACTGTATAATGTCGTTTTAATTATTCTATCCATCTGAATATGTGTGGCATGTTTTAATTTAGTGGTGTTGATTTGAGTTGTGAATTGTTCGGTGAGATGGCGAAAAACTTTTATGCATCTTGGAGATGCTGTGATCAAGATATCATTGTGTGTGTGCTTAGATGGGCCGTTATTGATTATTTTGGAGGTATTTTTAGTATACTAATTTATATTCTCTATGTTCGTTTCGTTTTATTGCTTTGACTCTGTATTTGTTTTATTAACATAGGCAAAATCACTATATCTTCCACATCTCCTACTAAGTTCGAACTCAATCCCCGTATTCCTGAGTTAGATGAGTTTTTGGAACAGTGAGTTTCTAATACTTAATGTTTGTATTTGACTTTTTAGTATTAATTCGTGGTCGCCTTCTCTCTCTCAAATCTTTTTTATAACAATGCAGATATCCGCGTAAGAGGCCATGCACGCGTGGTAGTGTGGGACGTCTACATTGAATAGTGTTATGACGTTTACATTGATTATCATTTTAAAAAATGATTTACCATGTATACAAATTATAGTTTAATTATTATTTGTTCTTCAGACCTCTTTATTTTAATCAATAAATATATTTTTTTTAATGTAATTATTATTGTTGTTTGATATTGAAGTATAGAAAGCAGAGAAAATAATATAAGTTATATATTCACATAAATAACTTATGTTTTTATTGATTTCTTGGATTTCAAGTAACTCATATTTATAAATATTTAAGAGGATTCGAATATATCCACATTGCGTTTTTGAAAATATATCTGACAACTTCTGATAGATTTGAATAGATGGATATCTATAGTTTTTGATATATGTATATGTATAATATTTTGTAGATGTATATCTCCAATATACAATAAACTTAACATTTTTGATTATATATATAATATTAATGCCTAAACCGCATGTAAACGATAAACGATTGTGTCTTAATCGATTGGAGTGTAAAAAAATAAAGGAATGGATAATCAGGCATATGTCATTATTCTTAATAATGTTCTGTCAAAAAATACCGCGTGTTGGATTATTAAAAAGTATGTCAATAACGTATATAATAACTGATTTGATTCTAAATCTGTTTGATGTAAACGATTTATTATGTTACGTTTAAATTATATATCATCTGAGCCCAAAATTTGTATACATCTTATGGGCCAAAAAATTTTGTGTTGTAACCAAAATTCGACTCTTCCTTTAACAAATAAATTGTGATGGTCTTGGATGGTCAAGAGGTTAGTCCTATAATTTATGAATATCTCGGTTATTGCCCTGATCTATTAAATTTATTAGTAATTAATAATGTTTTCAATATCAATCATATTGTTAATGTGTTATCTTAATATTTTCTAATTTTATTACGTATAATAATTCTTTCATCTAATTAAAGAGTTTTAAAATTCAAAATAATGATAAAAAAAGTCAAATAGAATTGTCAAACAAAATAAGTGAAAACATCAAATGAAATTGGTAGATTCAATGGCTATGGAAAATAGGTGAGTGATCAAAAAAGTAGCCATCTTCAATGTTGTTAAAATCATCAGTGTAGTCAAGCCTGCAAGAACAAGATAAATAATGAGTCGAATATTCAACAATTTTGTTTAGTAAATTTACAAGATGATAACGGTGAACAATGCTTACATAAAATGAGAATTTTCGACTTCAGGAATTGGAGGATCGAACAATATTTCAGAGAATTCTCGACCAGAACAAACACATATTTCATCTGTACAATATAGAAAATTATATTAGCTACATTTGATATAAATATAAATTGATATATGGTTGGTCGATAGAATGAGAAATAACCTCCATATCGACACATCTCCCAAAATCTCAATACACAAAAAACGATTTTGCGACGAGGAGTATTTTTCCATAAGGACTCAAAATGTTCAGCATCTCTTCCCCACGCTATGCAATTGATGTCGACACCCCTAAAAATCAGAATTAATATATCATTTTCCTTAACATCGAGAATATGATAGTAAAGATTTATATATGTATTAGTCTTTGTATCAATGGATTCTTACTCAAAATCTCTTATTGTAAATTTTAGAACACTTGAGTTGATTCTCTTGATTTCCGATCCAAAATTGGTCTTGACGTTCCAATTGACAAACTTTGATAATACCTCCGATCAAATCAACTAGCATAAAGCAATATATTCATATAATTAAGTAGAGTATTAATTAATCTAATTGAGTATAATGAAATACTAAGAAAACATACCAACGTCTATCTTTTCCATCAGAGATTCGTCAATGACATTTCTAAAATTAGCAAATGAGTACAACTGGTCATCTGATTTAAGCGATGTCTTCTCAACATGAGTATCCTCATCGATACAGATATGGAGACCATTGACTGTAATCCTCGAAGTTCCTATGTGTGGAGTAATTTTGAAGTTACCAATGAAATACCAATCTTTATCACACATCATGCCTTCATAATGGTCTACTAAACGATTCGGAATCGATGCACGTATTCGATCACCCTAGATTTTCAGTTAAAAAATAATGATGGTATTGATAATATATTAAGATTCAGACAGTAATATATTAAGATGCAGACAGTATGTTATTTTTGAAGTTATACTTACATGTTTGTCTGCGAATATAAACGATCGCTGAATACCGTGAACACCTAGGCTTTCCTCGACACTCTTGATAACTTGAACACAGAGAGAAGATCGATCAGATGCTATATCTAAATCAGAAATCATCGTGCAAGGAGACATTTTTTTCAAAAATAGATGCAGTTATTCTTAACAATGAATAGAATCTGATTATGAGTAACAAATGGGTACTACTTTAAATTGAAAACCACCGTTACGACAACCAATAGTAGTGTTTGCAATGTTTTGAAAAATAACAGTCATATTTACCACCGCTAATTTAGTTGACTATATATGTCATGTTTTGTTATAATTATGATATAATAATTATGAAAATCAATAATAGAAAAAACCTCATCAGAATCATTACTAGGTGATAAAATGACATATAATTGTTATGATTATTAATATTTATTTTATTGTGATAATAATTATGATACTAGCTTTTTTAGAGGCTTAGACATAGAAATTTTTTTTCTGAAGGAATATTTATTAGATTTTATTTCGTTTATTATATAAAGTACAATTTTTTCTATATTTGATTAATATTAATGGTATAATTTCATTTTATTGTTGTAAGTAAGTGTTGTTCATCTTAAAAAATGATATATACCGAAAGTTTGACAAAAGATATTATACAATTTAACTATTATTCATAAACTCAAATATAAAAATATTACACGATTTCTTAAATATATAAAGCCAGTGCTTGGCAAAAATTGAAAATAAAAATGTGATGTTTATGTTACGAAAATTTCAATAAGCAAATTATAATAAAGTTTATATAATGATTGTGTCCGCGCGACGCGGACAGATATCTAATATATATTTTATTTGGAGAAATCCAACACTGACCAAAAAAACAAATCGACCCAAAAACCACAACTTTCCTTCTTCACCCCGATTTTTTTTTTCTGGTTTCATTTCTGAACAAATTGAAAATTTTATTCTCATTGACCTTATTCACGATCGATATGCTTAATCACCGGAAGCACCACTGATAAAATTCGATTGGTTTTTTTTTTTATTGGGTTTAATCACTTTAGTCTTGCTCTCACCAGCGACATAGAGTTTTCTCCAAATATTCATCTTCCCACCTCCTCCTCATCATCATCATCGTTTAATTGGAGAAGAGCAATTCGGCACAATGGCAGAGAAGTGTCGTGACGTCGAGTAAGAGAATGGGTGATGGGACGAACGGGTCATTGTCCTCGAGAAATCCGGGTCAGATTCTGGGTTGGGTCGTCCTTATGTTCTTCTACTGCCGCTTCTGGGTTGGGTCGTCCTTATGTTCTTCTACTGCCGCTTCTTTTTTTTGTTAAAGCTACTGCCGCTTCTATAAGGCTCCTCTATTCGTCTTTCCAATCTGAGAAGACAATGACGTCGCAGTCTGTATCGAATCCGGGTTGATCCAAGTAACCGGGTCCCAGTTTTGTTAGATTGCATATCGTCACGCAGGAGATGATCTGTTCAAGCTCGTGAAAGACTCGATGAATGTGATTAGGTTCATCCAAACACACACACAAAAAAAAAAAACAATCACCATAGTGATTCCACCATCTCCTTTTATTCCTTTTCTTTAAAGATCAGAAATCAAAAAGAAAACTAAATTAAACCTTATAAGAACAGAAATTTAGAGAGATCGAGAGAGATGTGATAGAGAGAGAGGAAGAAGTGTCAAAATCGTCTGAGGGCAAAAGAAAAGGGAGTAAGAATATGCTATTGTAGGGTTTAAAAAAGGCGTATCTGAGATTTCTTACTTCTCGCTCACGATGTTGCCGTCGACGGAAATTGGAGATTCAGCTCGGGAAACTGAACTGCAATCACCAAAGGTATCTACGATCGATGTTGCGCGCAGGTCCTGAGAAGGAAACAAACGGAAGGGAGGAGATGAGAGAAGATTTAGGTTTGCAAAGTAAGGATTTTCCACCGCTCTAGGAGGATCTTCTGGTTGGGAAATTTCTTGATACAGCTCCATATGTGGAGAAAGTCTATATGTTGGTAAACAAGATATGGCCATTGTTGGATAAAACGGTGAAGATTTATGTTTTTTGTGGTTGACAAAACAACTATGAAATTCCGTACCAAAGATGAGAGTGTGAGGAATAGAGTGTTACGAAGGAGAATGTGGAATTTATGTGAAGTTCCAGTGATTATGTCAAAACAGAGTCCCATTGCGGAAGAGATGAATCCGGAAGTTTCAATAGATTCATCTCCAACCACGTTTTAGAAAGGGTATATCTATTATATTAAAACAGAAGCACTTTGTTTATTTTCAAACACTCCTAAAAAAATTTTTAAAAAAGTATTTTATATATATAAAAATTTAATTACGAAAATTAGATATTAATTTAAAAAACTAAAAATTTCTTTAAATATAGGTTATATCTATAGTCTATAGATATTAATTTAAATAAACTTCCTAAAATAAATATTATATTAAAACAGAAGCACTTTTAGTGTTTCTTTCTAAACACTCCCAAATTTTTTTAAAAAAATATTTTATATATATATATATATATAAATTTAATTACGAAAATTAGATATTAATTTAGATAACTAAAAATTTCTTTAAATATAGGTTATATCTATAGTCTATAGATATTAATTTAAATAGACTTCCTAAAATATAGGTTATATTTAATTTAACATTTAAAATTTAAATAAAATTTTCAGAATAACACATATGATTAATAAATATCT